TGACGGATCGCAAAAATTGCAAGTGTGTGAACATTTGAAACACTGAATATGAAACAAGTGGAATCATGAGCAGTCGTCATTCAGCCATCACTATCAAGCAGAAGTGGCGGCAGGATTGGAGAACACCTTGCAGTATTGATCGGGCACTTGTGATTTCCGTGACCCGTCGCGAATCGCGAAACCTGCGACGGATCGCGGACTCTGACACCAGCCTTAGCGGTTCTAGCATGGGAAGTGCTTAGTAATGATTCGTAAAACACTTTGAATAGGTATCGTGACTACGATTGAGTGCTTTTCACACTTATACTAATTAAGCCTACAATTGCCCCTTCGAATCCCAATGACAACTTCATGTGCGTATCTCCAAAGGAAGGGAGGGAGGTCGGGGAAGGGTGGAGACTGTGTATAAATTTTGAAAAATTCCTGACCCAGGACTGCCAGTTGCTTGTGGAACACTTTGCTGTAATATCTAGGACCGTGTTGATGTTTTCGTCAAAATTATCTACCAAATCTTTGATGACCAATTCTAATCGGATAATTTCTGGTTCTATTCTGAAAATTCCAACAATCACCTAGTCATAAGCAAAAAAATGCTCTCTTCAGGAGCTAAACCCAGCAGTCATCGGGCACTCGCTGCTTTTATCTCCGCTAGAATTATCCGACGAGGATTTTGCTCTTCTGCTGCAGTTTTTTGTTGTCGTCGGCACCAACTTACCTGAGGAAGTTGCAACCAAGATATCCTCCTTTTTGTTCGCACGTGGTGTGCCTTTTATATCCGCTAGGTTCGTCCTTTACCAGGAAGGTCTTTCAGGGCGGGCCAATCTTTTTGAAAACGGTCTTTTGCATGATGTAGGGTACGCATGCGGGCATCGGAAAGCGCCTTTTCATGGAAAATTGATGCAATTTTAGTATACCTGCAATCGTTAATAAATTGCAATAGTGAATTTGAACATAATGAATTTGAGCATACCTTTTGGTATCACTAGTCATATCGGGAAGAGTGCCAGATAGCGGTAAAACTCCATGTTTCTGTACGAATCTCCGAAGTCCTGTACAAATCAGCCAGAAAGGTTGCACACATTTGGAGGACTCATCGCAATTTGCGTCCATTAAAATATTCCTTCACGTGAACAGGTATTTAAAAA